GAGTCTCATATAACAAAAGTTTATCTGTACACCATTATTCTGTAGAACAAAGCTTCACAACTAGTGTAACAGAATGGAGTTGCCCAGGTGGGGACTGGGGCAGCCAGAGGCCCCAGGCCAGTTGCCAACAGCTGTGAGCTATGATCACAGGCTACTGAGCAAATATTATCATTTTCCACGTGTGCCACACTGAGAGAAACAAAAGAAGCTCTGTGCAGTGACTCCACTCTCAGGTAGGCAGTAGCCAGTCTGTTTGTCATCAGCCTGCAGTAGCCAAGGGCCACTCTACCCGTTTCCATCAAGTAACCACTGGTGATGAAGTGGCCCAGGTTTGTCAGGGTGTGAAAGCACTAGGTTGCATCAGTCCTAGATGATACTCTGGAAAATATCCTCATACTGACAAAAACACTTCACAGAAACCATTTTTTTTTTCCCCAAAAAAAGGAATGACTTCGGCAGGGAGGAAGGATAAAGGATAATAGGAGATAAAAGCAGCTCAAAAGAAGGAGTCAAAGTAATTTCTTAGTTTACTTAGTAAGCTCTGTATCAACTTGAAGCTCCATCTCATCTCCAAAAAAGTATTTAAGGCAACTGGTAGAAATTGCATTGGCCAAATTCTGGATAGGGTACTAAATGTAAGCCACAGTAATGAAGCACCCCCACATGTGACCAACGAAGCTTGTTTCTTTGCTTTTCTCTCCCTCCCCCCTCGCCCAGGCCAGAACAGGGTACTGTGCTGTGAGCTCATCTGCACAGGCCCAACCGAGGCTGATCATTCAGGATGGCAAACCTCTGGTAAACAGTGGAAAGCTCCCTGGGGACAACCAAAATAATGAAATAAAGACACAACTTCAAATTCTCTTCGACAAATGATGACTGCTTAAGAGCGGCATCTTTGAGGATGGGTGGTGTTTACCCTTATTTGGAAAGGATAGGTCCTCAGAAAAAAATAGATAAAAAGGTTGACTGAAGGCAGACTCTGTATATGGGTGCTACTTCAGAGTCTTACAAGCAGAATATCATCCTGCATTAGCATTAACCACATAGGGTATGTGAGGGTACAGGTCCCCACATACCTGTGGCCATAATTTGAACACATAAGCTCTTTTATCTTGTTTTTCCCTAGGGCAACAGGTCTACTTTCATTTCTCAAGTGAACCAATCAAAAACTAGATTTCAAAGGAGTGGCTGCTCTCTTAATTCTTTGAGAATACCTTTCAAAATCTGTGGGAGAGGTATAAATGATTTGACACTGCTTCCTAGTGGAAGCTTTTGGACCACCATCTTTGTGGTTACTTCACAGGACCTTCATGGCCTAGCTGCCAGAATTACATCTGTTTGATCAGTGCAAATGTGAGGAGGATAATTCCACAACAGCTTGGCAGAGAACCTGAGGGGCCACACATTGGAACATAACCATCAGCAAGAATTAATGAAATGACACATTTGCAAGTCACATAAAAATAAAGCAAAAGACTGAGATAAATTACCCCAAGCCTTCTGAGAATGACAGGGCCTTAACTATCATGTGAACAATTAGATCACCTAAAGCAAGGAAACATAACCTGTTCTGCTTATCGCAGGCTTCATGCATTCTGAGAGACTACGACAGTTCATTGTAGAATCTGCTCTGTGGCTACATGTGGCTACTGAGCACTTCAAAAGTGATACCTCAAACTCAGATGTGCCACAGTGTAAACTATATGCTGGGTTTCAAAGGACTAGTTCAAAACTAAAAATGTAATTTACCTCTTTAAGAATTTTTATGTCAGTCACATGTTGCAATGATATTTGGAGTATATTGCATTAAATAAAATGTACTATTAAAATTAATTTAATCATTTATTTTTACTTTGTCTAAAGGTGGCTACTAGAATGTTTAAAATATATATATATATACACACACACACACACATATATATATATATATACACACACACACACATACATATATATGATTCTTATTATATTTCTATTGGACAGTGCTGCTCTAGACCCATGAATCATAGAAGGAAGGTAGGTACAAACTTTTGCAACATGGCAGATGGTTGTCTATGGACCTAATAAAGTATTTCCTGTGTTCTGCTGACTTTGTCATTAATAGCATTTATAAGTGGCATTCTTATCATAAAACTCCCCTTTAATCTCACATAAAGATGCAGCCTCATTAATGTAGCCTTTTCTTGAGGCACTTATTGAATGTAGTTTAGTCAAGAAGTATCTTTGAAAAGCTTCATCCTGAACATCTTCCAATCACCTAAGACTTACATTCTCATAATTTATTTTCAGTGATAAAATTTTACTTTGAAAATAACCTCTTTGTTGGAAACTGGTGTTGTTGGAGCTAACAAAACATATGAACATAGTCATTCCAAAAGTTCCCCAAGTGTTCAGACTCTCTAGAGCAGGTGAGACAACAGTGAAAGAAGTTATAACAAGATATGATTGGACCCACCAATTGTTGGGAAGAGTGTTCCTTTACTCATTCATTGATTCATTAACCAACATTTCTGAAATGCTTACTACCTGTCAATCACACTTCTTTTTGTGATTTTCTGTTTTCTAGACTTCATGATAGAATGGATGTATCATTCTCAAAAGCAATTTGATAGAAAACTTGTCAAATGTTCACCAACTGCCTCCTCCCTCTTCCCATTACCCGGGTGATTATTTTTTATTTTGACCACATTCTTAACCGAGTTTTGGCTGGTTGGCTGGTATGCAAGAAAAAAATTGCACTTCTGTTTCAGGTTTTTCAATGCTTTTCAACAAACTCTCAATATCACCATTACAGTTTTTTTAATTGAAGGAGTAAATAAAATGTTCGTTTTTTCACTTTATGGTGCTATTTTTTCTTCTCCCTCTTAACCCCCACCCAAATATCTCCTCTAACTGAACTGGCTTTACTATTTTGTCACATAATTATCTCCATACTCATATACATGGAGCACAAATCCAGATTTTTGGGGGGGCTGAAACGTACCTAATTTGGAGACCCACTTTAAGGAAAAAATACAAATTGTGAACACAAAATTAGGTATAGGACCTTAAAAATTACATAAGTAAAGGTCTCTAAACTTTAGCTTCATTAGCTTCACAGGAAATCATCTCTCCTGATAAAATACAGAAATACACACACACATATGAGGGGCAGGGGGCTTGTGATTGCTTTGTTAAAAGGGGGAATTACTTTGTAAGCACTTTTCTGTATTGTTCCTTATGAACAGTATATTATAGAAATCATTCCAAGATAAGTGGTATAGCTTAAATTCATTTTTAAAGTGAGCATGGTGTGTGTATACTATAGGTTATTCAACCTTCCTTTTTATAAGTACAGAATTTCTTTGTTTCCATTTTTGGGACAGCTTTGGGGGTTATGGGTAGTTTTTATTTATTTTGCCACTAGTAAAAATGCCATAGCTAACAATGCTTTTCTAGTTAAAAAGACAAACAAACAGATACCCAAGATTTTTATAAATATTTAATAAATTGTATTAATTTATTAATTTCTGGAAAGGTGGCAATTTTATGATGTTAAACATTTCTACCCAAGAACTCTCTATATATTTTTCCATTCACAGCCACAATGAAAGAAATATGGAAAGTACAAATTGTAACACATGAAACTGAGGGGGAGAGAGTGACAGCTCATCTGTGTAGGATTTGACACACATGAAATGGAAGAGGGGAAACACTCAAGAAGCTGGGCATCTGGGACACAGCAATTCTTCCAGGGCACAGAGCCATTCAATGAACAGTAAATAAGCAGCTTAGTGGGGCTGGTACACAGGATGAGTACAGCGATGGAACAGGAGAAAAGGCTAGCAAGGTGGGCTGGAGCTCATGCACAGCAACAATGCCAGGACAGAAGAGTTTATCCCCCCTCTCTGCAGGGCAATGGCAGTGACAGCCAAGACAAGAGGAGAGGTCCATTGTCAGGCCACTCAGTCACGTGGGTGACAGGCAGACCAAAAAGGGCCAGGGCATTGGAGAGTCATAACAGTCCATGAGAGAGAACGAGCCCTGAGCCCCAGGGAAAGACGTAAGAACAGAAAAGGAAAGCGAGATATAACACACAGCAGGGTGTCAGCAACAGGAATTCAAATACTCCTTAGATTATGGAGGAAAAGAGATATTTCTGGTCTTGAATCTGAGTGCACAGTGGGATGGAGATGCCATTAAAACAAACAAAGCAGAAGACCAGGTTTGGGTGAAAGATGATCACTTTCTTTTCAGGTATGTTAAGCTTACCATGTAAGCAGGATATCCAAATAGACATATCCTGATCTAGAGCCCAAAACGGGAGAGCGCCTTGTCTTGCTAAGGACAGTCATAAACACTACAATTCCTCTGGAGAACCCCAACAGAGGAGCTCACCTCCACAGAATGTTGGGCTTATTCACATTCTACAGGCTTCCCACCTCTTAGAAAAGTTAACTACTACTAGACTTCCTGCTCAGAAAAGTGCTCTTCTTCAACATCTCATAGCACAACCCTGACTGGGACCGCCTTTGCCTAAACGCTTCATCACCGAGCAGGGAAGACATTGTTCAGAAGTTTTGTAATGAAGCCACAGGAAAAAGTTCAGCTAACTCTTCGAGCTAAGTAAATTTGGCCCTATTTCAAAATAATACGTATGCAGTCAAAAATATTACCAGGCACGACTCCAGGTTTGTTTTAAACACAGCCTGAACTTTTAAATAAAATTTAAAATTTCACTACCAAACTATACTTTAAAGTTACTTTTTCTTATAAAGGTGCAAAGCAATTGTCAATACAGGTTTGATGTCAGAATATGCAGATGTGGTGCTTTCCCATACTAAACTCTTGGTGACTCCAGGGTCAAAAGTAATGACCCAAGTTGAAAGGACAAAACTGACAACTACAGAAAACTCCAGAAGGCTTTTACACAGCAGCCACTCAATACTTGAGCATTGTGAGAGGAAAACCAATGTAATCAACATGAAATTATATCTTGCAAAAAATTAAAAAGCACAAACCTCATAATGCTCATATTCATCCACGTCGAATGTCTCAAAGTCAAAAAATCCATGCTGTAATGCCTAAAAGCAGAATCTGAATTAGTTCTGCCACACTAAATTGCTGAAGTCTTCTAGCCATTCCTGGAATTCCCGCTCACAAAATGATCCCCACTAGCCCAACAGAGAAAGCTTGAAACCTTTGATTTGTGATGCATATCCAGAAATCATCATCTAAACATTAGTAATTTTGTGTGAGACTCTTATAAGTGGAATTAAACACTTAAAAAACATGAAACTATGTCAAAAAAGATATGCCTCAAGTTCTAATTTACATTTGTTTTGCATGTGAAATGAATTATATATGTAAAATGAAAGATACTAGCAAATTTATAGTTAAAACATTTTGGGAATCAGGCAATTAATTCATACATAATGATGACAGAATATATAATAATGATTAATTTCTCAGATACGAGAAAAATCAATTGTACAGATAGGAGAAAAATCAATTATTCTTAGGTTTTTTATTTCCCTTTTATCATAATGAGATGCTTAGCAAAAAAGGGCATTTTTACTTAATAGGCCCTTATTTGCTCCTAAAACTCTACTTGGAAAGAATTTGTTTTATGGTGATAGTTTCTAATGGAGTAAAAGTATACTTGACTAAAAACATGTTGAACAATCTATCAGATCCTCTAAAATATCATCTGTATTTGGGTAAAATAAACTCCAATATTTGATAAAAGAAGAAATTTACAGAAGACCTCATTCATGAACAAAGTCAGAAAGACAGGATATCATAAAGTTCGGTATCAAGTTCCAAGTTACTCTCACAACAGGTACGGATAATATTCCAGTGTAGACTCTTCAGGGATCTCTTAAGTGTTAGAAAAGAAACAGCCTGTACCAAATGTCAGGATAGGCAAAATAATAATAATAATCACAGTAACAATAAATAAATTACTTTTTTCCCTGAATCATATTTTTTAAATGCTATAATTGTGGATTATACATTGGGTAAAGTCTTCAAAAGGGTTCTTAACTGTTGTTAACTGGAAGTGTGTTGCAGGGGGTGGGCCAGAGTATCTTGATAGTTTTTAAGTGAGAAGAAAAATATTTGAAAACTATTTAAAGCTTTTATTAAATTCACTTTTAAATAAAATATCAAAGTCAAAAACCAACACAGATAAAGCAGGTAGCATATTTTTTTTGATGGCATGTTTATCATACCAGTTTTCTCAACTCAAAATATAGCAAAATTGGTTTTACATTACATCAGAGAAAAGAAATTGGAATGAGAACACTATTGAATTATATTTATAGTCCCTAGTGACCCTTGCCAATGGGTTATGTAATATGTACATTTCTGACTGATAAATCATGGCCATATGTTCCAGATGGAATGCTATACTTTGAATTTCATTAGAATCCACAGTACAGCACATGTGACTTCTGAGATTGTAAATCAATGTTTCTAAAACATGTTCTAAAAGTTTCCAGAAACCTTTTAGATTAACTTCTCCATTACATATGTAAATAACTAAATACTATGACTCTAAACTCTACAGCACATCAAATCACCTGGAGGGATTGTTGAAACACAGACTGCAGAGATTCACTCCCAGAGTTATGATTCAGTCAGTCTCGGGTGAAGACTGAGAATTTGTATCTCTAACAAATCCCCACACTTTGAACACCATTAATTCATGGCACACCCTGGCATAATACCAGAAAGGACTCTGGATTGATGGGAATGTGAGTTAGAATTAGCCCTCCGAATAACTCCCGATGGTCCTGAGAATGACTTAATCTCTCTGGGGCAGTTTCCTCATCTGTAAAAATGAGATTAGTACCTGGCCTCCTTACTACTTCACAGGTGTTTAATAATATCAAATTAGAAAACCAAAGCTGGCAATGTTCTCCTCCACACTAACCGAGAAGAGCAGTGGCTTAGGTCACTCCTTTTTGCTCCCCCACCAAGACCTAGCTTGATAATGAAGCTGACTGAGTGACAAAGTAATGTCACAGGGACAGCAGCAGATACAACTGATAAATCCGTCCCAAACACAAATAGTTTAAATGAGAAATGGAGACCCCATTCACTTCTATAAGGAGTTACAGAGTTACCCACCCCTTGGCCAGAACTCCCCTTAACTTACCCTACAGTCTATATTTTACAAATCAGTCACTGTTCAAAAGAGTGGAAAGCCTTCTGCTTACTGCCTCCCCACTCTTCTCTCCAAAAGCAAACAGGTATATGGGCATTATTCATTTTTTGTATTTTTAAACTACTGTGCCAACTACAGCAAGGAGAATTGTTGTTACCTTTCTGATTCCCTGCAAACAGTCAAGGATGGTAAGACTGTATGTGCAAATTCCAAAGGAAGCATCCCTATAAACACAAAAAAGTTAACATTAAAAACATGCATTTAGAATATTCAAATGCTGAAACAGCAGAATCAGCTGAAGATATCGTTTGGCTTCACAGCTGTCAAAACAGTAAACTTGTTAACACATCAGCTCCTACTAGTGAACTACTACAGCCTAACCAAAGCACTTTTGAAATTCCTTTAATCCAATAGGCAAAATTAGTAAGAAAGAAGATTTAAGAGTCTGAGCTCTGGAATCAGACTGCCTTGTCTTAAAGTCCAACTCTGCCTCATATTAAGTAGGACATTGAGCAAATTATTTTACCTCTGAGTTTTAGTTTCCTCATCTGTGAAATGAAGTTACTGACAGTGGCTATGAATCACAGGACTGTTGTCAGATTACACTGAAAGCATGTAGTCCTTCACATAGTGCCTCACACATAAGAAGCACTTAATAGAAGCCACTGTGGAAAGCAGTATGGAGGTTCCTCAAAAAACTAAAAACAGAATATCATGTGAGCCAATAACTCTACTTCTAAGAATTTACTCGAAGAAAACAAAATCTCTCATTCAAGAAGATATATGCACCCCTATGTTTATTGCCGTATTTTTTACAATAGCCAAGATATGGAAGCAACCAAAGTGTCCATTAACAGATGAATGGATAAAGATGATGTGGTACATATACACAATGGAATATTATTCAGCCATAAGAAAGAAAGAAAGAAAGAGATCCTACCATTTGCCACAACATGGAGGGACGTAAGGGGTATTATACTAAATGCACTAAGCCAGAAGGAGAAGACAAATACCATGATTTCACTTATATGTGGAATCTAAAAACAAAACAAAATGGGCAAAACAGCAATAGACTCAGAGACACTGAGAAGTGACTGGTGGTTACTGTCGGAGAGAGGCTGGGGTGGGTGGGTGAAATAGGTGAAGGGGATAAAGAGGCACAAAATGTCAATCATAATTTAAGTTGGCCATGGGGATGGAAGTGCAGCATGGACAATATAGTCAATGGTCTGTAACATCCTTCTATGTTGACAGTAACTGCACTAGCTGGGGTGAGGATTTAATAATGGGTATAACTGATAGATCATTGTGTTGTATACTTGAAACCAATATATATTGTATATCAATTACACTTCAACAAAAAAACATTAAAGTAGTTGGATGAGGCTCAAAAAACAAGAAGTACTTAGTAAATAATATGACTATTATCATTAACACTGACCTAGAATGTTTAAGTAAAACATTTATCATCACAAAGATATTCTGAGAGAAGAGCATCCACCTGTCAAGAAAATGTTAAATTCAAGCACAAAAATGTTAAGAGGACAACGTATGCAGGTTAACAGAAACTAGCAGCTATTTCATAGATTAAATACCACCCCTCCAATTCACACACACCCCAAAAATTAAGGACAACACAGTTATTCCCCCAAACAATCTCCTCTCAGGATCCATGAGAGCTTCTAATGTACCACAAACTGTTCTAGCAAAAGGAGTGGGAACCTACTGTACTGAAAATTGAGTACTTCATACTTTATTTAAGTTTTTAGAGCAACTTAGCAGGCCTGCTTTAGGCAACATAAAACTGAAGTATCAAGTTCAGGTCAGCTAAGCAAGAACTGGCACTGGAGCTTTAACACTAGCCATGTTCCAAGGTGTCCAAGGCAAGAAACTTGACCTCAAGGCTTCCATCTCCACCAGCCCCCACCACTGACCCAGAGGAACAGAGCCGTAAGCACCTGCCAGTAACAAAGCTGATGAACCTCACCCAGTCAGTCCAGGGTGGCAGGGTGGAGGGTGTCAGAAGATGTTGGGGGAGGGGGGAGAAAATGACCACTAAGGTCTTTAACATATAATTAACATAAAACCAAGTTTTCCATCACAACCATCCAAGGTAACATGAACCTGTGGCTGCTAAGCCGTGAATTAAAATAGAACTTCAACATCACTAAGTTTCAGCATCCTGATAACCTAATATAAAAATAGGAAGTTAGCAAAGCAGCTTAACAGAAATGTTTCTTAGGTTGTGAAACTTCAAAGTTAACCTATGTAAATAGGAAGGGTGATATGAGATATTTAAGTCTGATTTCTAGAGGTCTTTTTTAATGCCATCTGAACTATGAGTCAGTGAAAAACAAAATAGCTTCTTTGTCAAATATCTTATAAAGGCATAAACCACATATTAAGAAGCAATTTTTAATGGACTAAGCCAAAGAAAGAAGTAGCTGAGGATTTAAGATACAGTACTAGCTTATATAAATAACCACACCCTCCTTTGTAGGCACTTGTCTGTCTGGGACAGAGGTTCAGAATAGTTTGTGTGCTTGGACCCCTCAAAAATCTAATGAAGTCTGTGAACCTCTTTTCCCAAAATAATGTTTCTAAATGCATGAAGTATATAGGAAAAGCAGATTAGTTCAATTAAAGTTATCAAAATATTTTAGAAATGTGTAACACCATAATATGTAATTTTTTATTAATTTATTATGTAAGAAGACCTAGAAGCAGGTCAGATAACAACTATAATTTTGAAGGAGGAATGTACATAAATAATATCTTGATATATGCAACAAATGTAATGGTATATAAAATGTGATTTCTATTGTAACAGTCATTTATTGCTAATATTACTGTACTTCCAACATTTATAATTGAACATAATCTTATGAAATATAAGGTCATTGAAAAAGACATGATTTTTTATTGCCCAAATTCACTGACTCTCTGAATTATCTCCACAGAACCTAGATTAAAACTACTTCTTTAATAAAGAAAAAGAAAAACTCCTTTGTATTTAGAAAGAATAAAAAAATTATAAGAATTGGAGGTACTCCTTACTCCCTCAAGTATATCTTCACGTGCCTCGACTTCACTAAATAAATTCAAAATATGAGTTACCAAAAAAGACCCAGTCTTTCTGATTGTCTGCAAACTATGGTGAGATTAACATGATCCTATCACATTCACAATTTTTACCAATTACTGAAAAGAGACCTTTGGTGATTTGGTGATGAAATCTGCAGACTTGAGAATGGAGGGGAGGCTGAATGAGCCATCTGACAGAATTAGGATACAAAACAATCAGACTGGAAAGATGGGCAGAAGTTTACAACTTGAAATATAATAAGGGATGCAATAAAATTAAGTCATATTCTCAGAACTGGGGAAAGGAGATGACACACCTACAACGCTGGGTAATTTAGATGCATTAGCAAATTTAATCCTGATAGCCACATGAAGCCAATATGTTCCCAAAACCTGACCCCATACTGGGCAAGAGAGAAATGGCTTATTAGAGGCACCTGGGTCATATATAGTCAAAAGATAATAACCTTAAAAGTGAAGGAACACAAAAACATGTTAGATATTCAATGGGGGGAAAAGAGAGAGGCAGAGAGAGAAAGAGAGGGAGAGAGACAGAGAGAGAGAGAAGGTTAAAGTGACAGAGTTAACCCTATGCATCTACCAAAATCCCACTAAAAAGAGAATTTCAAAAGGCTTTTTTTTTATGGAATCCAGCAAGGTCAGGAAGAATAAGACAGCAGAAAACAGCAATAAAATTATGAAAGCTGAAAATCAGAGAGATGAGTGATTATAAATTAGAAGCCCAGAAAACTGGATATTGAGTTAACAGTGGAAAAATCAGAGAATCCACCTGATTAATATCAGATGATTCTCACAAGGCCCAAGAATTGGCAGCACTGGGTTCTTCCAGAGGTGAGAATGAAGGAAATGACTAAAATAAGACTGAAAGCCCATTTAAGAAGCTGAGAGATTTTACTCTACAAAATATTATCTCTCATTTTATAAACCATCTTCTAAAGATTTTCCTCAATCATCCAATGTAGTTAGATGCATCTAAAGATAAAATGGTTTGCCCTGGAAGGTAACAAGATGTTTGCCCCACAAAATGTTCACGTTCGAATTAGAAGATTGCTTGGGAGTATTTTTTACTCACATGGGTAAATAAAATGAAGATCAAAGTTCAGAAAACACCAGGCTCTAGTAACATGAAATGTCTCTTCTTCCTCTGCAATTATATAATTATTTAACACAATTGATGATCTCTTTCCTCTCTATTATCTCTCTCCTGGATCCTCCCCAACAGAATTTAACGATTTTCAGGCCTCTACCATTTTTGAAAGAAAAAAAAAAAAAATCCAGAACTTTCTTGACTCTGCATCCCCCTTCAACCACCGCCCTCTCTTTGGTCTCTTCTTTAAAACAAGACTTCTCTAGAGGATTTCTCACCTCCCTGCTTCCATTTTCTCTCCTCATATCTTAAGCTCTGCTGCTCTGTTTCCACCCTCATCCACACCATGAACTTTTCTCACTCAAGTCACCAAGGATCATATTGCTAAGCCCCTGGGACTTTTTTTTAATTGAGATAAAATTCACCATTTTAACCTATTTAAAGTGTACAATTCAGTGATTTTTAGTGTATTCACAATTCTCATCATCACTAATTCCATATACACCACAATAATATAATATAAACATTTTTATCTCCCAAAAAAGAAACTGCACCATTTGCAGTAACTCTCCACTCTCCCTCCTGCCTACCCTCCATCCCTGGCAATCACTAATCTATTTTCTACTTCTCTCGATTTGCTTATTCTAAGCCCAGGGAACATTTTGCAAGCATCATTTAATTTCATATGCCAGCAACAAGTAACTCCCTTCTTTATAATCTCTTCACATGCTTCCTGGACTTTCCTTCTACTTCTTTAAACACTATTCCTTCCCAATCTGCTTTGCAAAGTCATTCTGCAACTTCCCAATCTTTAAAAGTTAGAGTTCTTCGAGGTTCAATTCCAGGCTCAAATTCTTCAACCCTCCTAGACCAGGGGCTCCCAACCTTGAGGATGCATCACCTGGATGGTTCTGATTCAACTCAATCAGGCCTGGGGCAAGGCCTGAGAATCTGAGCTTCTAGCTAGTTTCCAGGTGGTTTGCATGCTACTGGCAGGAGGCACCACATTTTGAGAACTACTGCCCTCCACCA